AAAGTAATGGAGAAATTTGTTAGTTTTTCTTTAATTTAAAAAAAATATATTATTTACTTACCTTTGTAAAAGAATACAGCCTGCCTACATTTCCCAAGTCCGTAAGTTCAAGTTCAACTTTATTATAATCAAAGAAAGTAATGTTAGAAAATCTTTTCCTACTCCTCGTCCTATTACATATGGACTGAAAATGTTAAAATAGTTTTTTTTTTTTAAAAAAATAAAAAATAAAAATAAAAATAAAAAAAAATAACTGCATTAAGACTTAACTCCGATCTTACAATGGTAAGTTAATAAATGTTAGTTTTATAAAACAAAATAATTATAACTTTATTATACAGTTATAAGGATTTGCCTCCAAACCCAAGTTTCCAAGGTTTAAAGGTTCCTGATACGTCTCAAAGGTTAGTTTTTTTAATCAAAACAAATTTTCTCGTTAATTTTTATAAAATAAAAATAAAAATTAAAAATGTATTCTACACCGTTAGGACTTATATTACTAGTTTGCCATATTTACTCAATACATAACGTTACTTAATCTATTACTCCAATAACTTCCCTACCGACGTTACCAAACTCCTTAAATTTCTCAAATGTTATACTAAAATAAATAGTTTCACCAACTTTGCTACATTCTTTAACTATATTTAATTGCTTTGATACCCATATAAACATCTGACTCCATCTTAATAGATTAAAAATTACTTTGATACCGTAATAAATGGCCTACTAAATTAACCCGATTCCTTAAAGAATATCTACTTAGAAAAGGTCAGGATATAATACAAAATTTCATAATGCATATAAAAAAGATAAAGAAATAAAAAATTTAGAAATTCCTTTATTGGTATAAAATTGGCGTGATATGAAAATGCTAAAGCACAATATAATCTTGCAATTTTATATGAAAAGGGTAAAGAATTTTAAAGAATCATTTTATTGTAAGGTGGAAATAGTAATGCATAATACAATTTAGGTTTTAAATGAAAACATTTGAATGCTATATAAAATCAACGTATACACGTTATAGGATTCTTTACGAAAATGTTATAGGAATTCATCGAAATTTAAGAAAAGCTAATTATTCCTGGAAACAATCTAATATGTGGCAAATTTGGGAAGAGATGGATGAATATTGAATGACTATTACTTGTCAAACATGAAGTTTTTATTTTCCACTTCCATAAATAGTTTTATGCACACCATGATTGTCTATAATTTTTAAAAAGATCTTGAAGATTTTAATACAAAATTAGCAAAGTTTCTGAATTCGGATGAAATGATCGAAATGAATATTCTTTTTAAAAGTAAAACGAAATTGTGTATTTTTAGATTTTCTATGAAATTTAAATTATTGTTATTAAACTTTTTTTTTGCTAATTAAAAAATTGGTTATAATTTAATAATTGAATAGTTTTTAAACAATAGTTCATTTTGTTTTAAAAATGTGATACATCGCCTATATCTTATTTTTTTGCTATATTATGTCATTTTACGGACTGTTGCAATTATATCTGCCTTGATTAAATACTTACAAATCATAAGAAAAAAAGTTAAAAATATATGAAACATTATGCTTTTTTAAATTTTTGTCTTAAATAAATTATAATTCTACGTCTATGACTTATTAACGAAAAATGAAACCGAGTTTGATTGATAATTGCTTTCTTTTTTTTTCATTATTTCAACAAATAATAAATAATTATTTGTAATTTACATTTAATTATTCATATACGCTTATTTATATTAACCGAGACATTATTTTAAGAAAATTTAAATTTAAGAAATTTAATGTAATTTCGATTGTCGAAGATTATCATAAATATAAACTTTACCTATTTAAGAAGAAATCGCTTTTAAATATTTTTTTTTATCAAATGAAAATGTTCACATTTCTCTATCATCACATTGATACTTAAATTGGCTAATTTATGATCATAATAAAAAGATGAGGATGAATGTAAGCAATTAGAAGGTATCTAGGGTAAATGCACTCAAAGGATAAGAGAACATGTATATATTTTATATTTATTTATTTATTTTAATAAAATATTCATTGCGGTAAGTAAATTTTCATGATATGATAAAAGTTGGTTGCAAATTTAGATATTATTCCAACTATGATATGTAATTAAAAAATTGTTTATAACAAAAGACCATATGTATATTCTATTGTAAATAAAAATTATACTTATTGCACTTAACATTGTAATTATCGCTCCTTTATGATTTGTTTGGAATACAGATTAAAAATATTCCTTGGAATCTCATTAACAAGTATCAACAAGAAGATTCGTCGGTATTCTGTTCGAGGAAAATCCATTCCTGATGAATTCTAATCATGTTCTCGTGGTTTACCTGATGAATCTATTTATCGTTCTGTTTTAGAACCGTTTATTCACTAATACAAATGTCGGTAAAGAAGGAAATAACGATAAAATAGAAATTAACATTCCTGATAAACACTTGTTATGACTAATGAACAAAATGAATTATTAATTTCAATATATAATGTTTATAAATTTTAATAAACTTATGAAATTAAATAGAAGCTCAAAAATACTAATATAGGTCAGTCCAACAAACAAAGAAATTTATTAACATATGTAATTTTGGCCGAAGTTCATATAGACTACAATATACGGAAAAGAAATGTTTTAAATGATTATTCTACAGCAACATCCTTTTTGAGATCCAAAAAAAACTATAATATCAATATATTTGTAAAACTTGAAATACTTCATATTCTTCCATAGTAAAATAATGTTCAGTTTCTCTGATTTTGTTTTCATAAGAATTCTTTACACATACACACTCTATTAGATTCCAATACTTGCTCTCTATTATTTTAAGATCTGTCTGACCAAATGATGGGCCATGACGGCTCCCATATTGAATAGCATAATCAACATCTTTTACCCGACTTAGAATACAATTTTCAATGTTTTTTTTATCCTTAAAAGAGAATATGAAACTTTCCCTAGTATGTCCATATGAAGAATTTGTACGTAATCTATTCTTCCATGCGATAGGATTATAACCTCCAAGAATTTCGTCTCCACCTTCTATTTTAATAATTGTTATAGTATGAGTTTGATTATCGCAAAGTTCATGGAACTTTTCGGATGTAAATCCATTCCGAGATCCTCGAAGCAATAATTTAAATTCATATTGAACTTTTAATTCGTTTTTAAAATCCATACCATCAATCCATTCCAAGATTAATTCAGCGTGTTTATTTGTGATGATTTTCGAATCAATTTTTGAGCTAATCCTTTTAATTTCTTGTGGATTTGGCTTTTCTCTTGGTTTATAGTCGTAATCCAAGTAATATTCATTTAAATCCACATATAATTCCTTTGGTAATGCTT